GGGGCCGGGTCCTCACCTGGGTCAGGTCCACGAGCTTGCCCTGGCGCACCGGCTGTGTCTCCAGGGCGCGCAGCTGAGAGATAAGCTCACGGCGCCGCTTCTGCTCCTCCCCCGCGGCCTCTGCGCTGCGCTGCAGCAGCTCCCGGCTCTCCTCTATCACCTCCTGGACTTGAGGGGCAAGGGGGTGCTGAGGGGCCGCAGGGTGCCCTGCCCAACCCCGGCCCTCCCTCCAGGGCACTGGGCTCTTGGCAACCGCAGCAGCTCACTTAGGGCAGGAGGCTAGCCAGGGGCGCGAGCCGGGGTGGGGGGGAGCAAAGCTGGGCGCGGCCTCGTGGTTCCTGGCCCCCCGCCCTACCTATCTGCTGCCGGCCCCTCAGGAGCTTCGTCTGTGCCACCTTCACGTTCTTCTGCACCTCCGCCACCCGCCGCACAAGCTCCTTCATGGACCTTTCCTCCTGGAGGCGCCTCTCAGCACACTGCTGCATCAGCTCCGCCGTCTGCTCACACAACCGACCCACCGTGGTCAGAGCCGCAGGGTCCCCCCTGGAGCAGGCCCATTGCCCCGGGCTGCCCCCAGCCCCAGGAGCAGCATGAGGTGACCCTGCATCACCCCGGAGCCCAGATCTGAGCTCAGCAGCTCCCGGGAGTCCCCTGGAGGTCAGGCCTACTGGGGAAGTTCCACCTCGTGTCCCCCCTTCCTCCACTGTGGTTCTGGGGAAACCAAGTCCGAGCCGCTTGGTCTGCCCTGAAGCCTCTCCCTGGCCCCCAGACTCCCCCTGAGAGAGGAGGGCGCTCAATGCTTTGAAGCCATGTGGAGCCCAGGATGTGCCAGCCTCAGGGTCCCTGTCACATGAGCCCCCAGGCACGTCCTGCTGGTCACCCCACTCTTCTTTCTCGTGCTGTTTCAAAAGGTCAGAGTTTTTTTTTTTTCTTTTTTTTTTTTTAAACGTTCATGTGATCTTTATTATTAGAAGGTCAGAATCTTAAACAACAGGACAGGGTGTGGTTTTGCCGCTTTGTCACACATGACTGGAATCCTCCCGTGTGTCTGGTTGCCTCTTGCCTCTGTGGCTCTGCGCTGCATTCATTAGCCTCGTACATGTTATCCCCTGGACTGTAGGTGGCTTATTTTTGTGGCTGTACGTTTTGGGGTATATCACAACGCTTTCATCCATTCTACTGTGGAGGGACATTCAGATTGCTTCCAGTTTGGCACTATTGTGAACGATTCGGAATCACGGTTTCAGTCCTCTAGATACTAAAACGCAGTGTGGGGTTTACGCCTTCTGTCGCTGGCCCAGGGTGGCCAGGGGCTCCGGGACCCCCAGCCCCCGGCAGTCTGTGCAGTGGGGGCTCATCTACAGCTGCACCGTCAGTGGAGAATCAGCTTGCAGGCCACTTGGACTTCAGCTTTAGACACTGGGCACCAAGTAATCCTTTTGTAAAACAATTTGCTGGCACATATCAAAAATGCCTCTCGCCCATCCTTTTTGATTTGTCCAGTTTTGCCCCAGGTTCTAAGAAAGGGAACCAGGGCTCTCAGAGAAATAGCTTATTTTAGGGCTGGGACAGAGAAACCACCAGGTGAGCCTGGTGCATCTTCTAGTGTCCTAAAGTAAGGAAGGACACAGGGCAGTCAGAGGGACGCAGGAGGTCAACCTGAAGGGGCTCCCAAAGGCCAAAGCTTGCAACGGAGTAACACTTTTGATAACACAAAGTGTAAAATAAATATGCATGGATCCACACTGAAAGAGTTGATGGAATGAATTCAAGAAAGTGGGGGAGAAGAGAGAAGTCCCCTGTGCAGCAGAATTCCCAGTAGTCCCCCCCCCCCCCCCCCGCCCCGGGCTGCAGGCTTTGCCTAGAGATCCCCTTCCGCACGGTGCTATGTGGAAAGGGGACACTAACTGCAGCAGAGAAAGCCAGGCACGACCTTGGCCAAGGGGTCAAGGTCAACATCACAGTGAAGAGCTGGTTGACAGCAGGTGCCCTTGACAGGCTGTGATGGTCCTCCTCCCCAAACCCCAACCCCAATCTAACCATGAGAGGAACATCGGACACGCCCCAGCTGAGGGGCATCCAACAGGATACCTGACCCGCTCTCCTTGAAACTGTCAGGGTCACCAAAAACAAGGAAAGTCTGAGAAACTGCCACAGCCAAGAAGAGTCTGAGGCATGACCGTTAAATGTGATGTGGAGTCCGGGGACAGGAAAAGGGCCTTCATAGGGAGAAAATGTGATGAAATCTAAGCAAAGTGTGGAGTTCGAGTAAGTCACATACCAGCGTTGGCTTCTTGGCTGTGACAAATATACCGCGGTGTAGTGGGTAGCACCTCCCCCAAATTCACGTCTACCTGGAACCTCAGAATGTGATCTCACATCCAATTAAGTGAGGATCTCAGGATGCGATCATCCTGGGCTTAGAGCGGGCCCTAAGTCCAATGACAAGTGTCCATAAGAAGAGAGGGACGCAGAGAGATGCGGACGCATGGCCATGTGAGGACGGAGACAGAGTCTGGGGTGGGGCTGCCACACAAGGAGTTTCTGGGGTCTCCAGAAGCTGGAAGAGGCAAGGAAGGGTCCTCCCCAGGGAGCTTAGCAGAGAGCATGGCCCAGCTCACGCCCTCCTCGACCTTGGACCTGTGGCCTCCACAACTTGGTCAGGCTTGCGGTGCCTCCCTGTGGCGGCCCAAAGCCAGCGTGGGGAGGTAAGGCGTCACCAGCAGAGGCGGCTCCGTGGTAGGAAACTCTCTGCACCATCTTTGCAACTTTTCTGTAACCCTTTAAACTGTTCCGAAGCAGAAAGTTTATTGTTAAAAGTACCTTCGAAAACTTGGTAATAAGAGGGAAGATACTTATGTGGAAATACAGGTGAAAAGAGGAGGGCGGCCAAAATCTGCAAGGGGTCTTATCTCAAGTGAGCTGACTAGGGGCAAAGAAAGAACAAACCATGAACCACCGCCGTGGGTGAGGAGGCCTGCCCTGCTGGGTCCCAGGGCCCCTGCCCAGCTGCACCTCGGGGACAGCACAGACACAGCTCAGGGCCAGTGGAGAAGCGGGGAGGGAGGGGAAGAGGCAGCGTCTCCTGGCTCTCCATAAATGTGCACGGAACCGGGGTGGGGGGCAGGTGTGAGGGCAGCACAGGACCAAGGAGAAGGCCTAGGCTTGCGGGGGACACACTGCACTGTGAATGCCATCTGCCCAGACCAGCTCTGCCACCTCAGGCCTTGCCAGCGTCTTTGTGGTACCCACCTCCTCAGCATCCCCCACACGTAAGACATGCAAAGGGCAGGGGGGCAGGATGAGACAGAGGATCAGAAGTTGTTAGCAAAGAGCCCGACAAGGGGCTCGAACCCACAAACCGTGAGCTCATGACCTGAGCCAAAGTCAGATGCTTAACCGCCTGAGCCACCCAGGCACCCCTGTAGGCTCTTTCTTATTCAACACAGCACTGGAAAGTTCTAGCCAGTGCAATAGGCTAGAGGAGCAAATGACAGGAATGTAGGTCAGAAGTTAAGAAATAAACTGTTCTTTACAGATGACATGATTGTCTACATAGAAAATTACAAGGGCTCTACGACAAAATGCCTTGTTTGTCCTAGAAAAATTATAAGGTGGTTCAGCAAGGTCCTGAGATAGATGATCAACACACAAAAGTCAATTACGCTTTAATATACTAGCATCGGATACATGGACATCAGAATTAAAAATATAACACCACTTACAATTACTCAAAAATAATAAAAGAAACACTTAGGCACAAATCTAACAGAACACGAACAGGACTTGAATACTAAAAACGAAACACTATACAACACAGATGAAAGAAATAAAGGATTGAAATAAATGGAGAGACGTACTGCATTCGTGGATTGGGAGCCCCAGTTGGGTGGTCATGGAAGTCGATCCAGACCTCAGACCACGTATGAGCATAAACTGGGCGCAGATTAGAGATCCAGATGTAAAAATGAAATATAAATACTAGAGGACACCTAGGCGCATTGCTCTATAACACAGGTACGGGAAAAACCTTTCTCCTCACTCTTCAAAGTCCAGGCACAGTAAAAGGAAACATTGATTAGTCTGCATGGTAAAACACACAAGCAAAGCCAAGTGACAGATTGGGAGGAAATATCTGCATTGTATCATGAAAAGTCACTGTCCCTACTGTGTAAAGAACTCTTCAAAACCAAAGAAATGAAGGCTAAGAGCTTGTTAGAAAATGTTCAACTGATCTTTGGCAAAGGCACCGAGACCACTCAGCAGGGGAGGGACTGTGTCTTCAACAAACGGTGCTGGGAAACCCAGACATCCACACGCACAAGAATGAAATTAGACCCTTATTTTACACCACACACAAAAATCAATTCAAAGTGGATTAGAGACTTAAACACAAGACCTGAAATCACAAACTCCTAGAAGAAGACAGGAGAAAACTCCCTCATATTGGTCTTAGCTTTTTTTTTTTTTTTTGGATTTGACATCAAAAGCACAGGCAAGAAGAACAAAAATGAACTACTGGGACTACATCAAACTAAAAGGTTTCTGCACAGCAAAGGAAACAACCAACAAAATGAAAAGGCAACCTATGGAATGGAAGAAATCATTTGCAAACTATGTATCTGATAAGGGGTTAATACCCAAAACATATAAGGTACTCCTACAACTCAATAGCAAAAAAACAAAACAAAACAAAAAACAAAAAAGCCAAATAACCTGACCAAAAAATGGGCAAAGGACCTGAACATTTTCCAAAGATGATAAACAGACCTTTTCCATGTGCCAACAGACACATGAAAAGATGCTCATAACCACTCATCATCAGGGAAATGCAAATCAAAACCACAATGAGATACCACCTCACCCCTGTTGGGATGGCTATCATAAAAAAGTCAAAAGATAGCAAGTGCTGGTGAGGATGTGGAGAAAAGGGAATTCTATGCACCGTTGGTGGGAATGTAAATTGGTGCAGCCATTGTGGAAAAAAGTATTTTAATTTTTTCTGAAAAAATTAAAAATAGAATTACCAGTTTTTAAAAAGTAATCTTGGGGCGCCTGGGTGGCGCAGTCGGTTGAGCGTCCGACTTCAGCCAGGTCACGATCTTGCACTCCGTGAGTTCGAGCCCCGTGTCAGGCTCTGGGCTGATGGCTCGGAGCCTGGAGCCTGTTTCCGATTCTGTGTCTCCCTCTCTCTCTGCCCCTCCCCCGTTCATGCTCTGTCTCTCTCTGTCCCAAAAATAAATAAAAACGTTGAAAAAAAATTAAAAAAAAAATAAAAAGTAATCTTTGCACCCAACGTGGGGTTCCAACTCAGGACCTTCAAATCAAGAGTCACATGCTCTACGAGCTAAGCCAGCCAGGTACCCCCAGAACTACCAGTTTTAAAATTAGAACCCAGAGCCAACCGACACATGAAAAAATGCTCCACATCACTCATCATCAGGGAACTACAAATCAAAGCCACAATGAGATACCACCTTACACCTGTCAGAATGGCTAACGTTTACAACTCAGGCAACAACAGATGTTGGCCAGGATGCGGAGAAAGAAGATCCCTTTTGCATTGTTGGTGCAAGCTGGTGCAGCCACTCTGGAAAGCAGTATGGAGGGTCCTCAAAAAACTAAAAATAGAACTACCCTACAACCCAGCAATTGCACTACTAGGCATTTATCCAAGGGATACAGGTGTGCCGTTTCGAAGGGACACATGCACCCCCATGTTTATAGCAGCACTATTGACAATAGCCAAAGTATGGAAAGAGCCCAAATGTCCATCGATGGATGAATGGATAAAGAAAATGTGGTGTATATATATACAATGGAGTATTACTCAGCAATCAAAAAGAATGAAATCTTGTCATTTGCAACTACATGGATGGAACTGGAGGGTATTACGCTAAGTGAAATTAATTAGTCAGAGAAAAACAAAAATCATATGACTTCACTCATATGAGGACTTTAAGAGACAAAACAGAGGACCATAAGGGAAGGGAAATAAAAATAATATAAAAACAGGGAGCGGGACAAAACAGAAGAGACTCATATATATGGAGAACAAACTGAGGGTTACTGGAGGGGTTGTGGGAGGGGGGAATGGGCTAAATGGGTAAGGGGCACTAAGTAATCTACTCCTGAAATCATTGTTGCACTATATGCTAATAATTTGTATGTAAATTTTAAAAAATAAAAAATAAAAATAAAATAAAATAAGGACAAAAAAATAAAAATAAGTAAATAAATAAATAAATAAAAATAAAATTAGAACCCAGAAGTATCACTTCTGATATAGATTCAAAGGAAATAAAACCACTGTTTTGAGGAGATATCTGCACCCCCCATGTTCACTGCAGCACCATTCACAATAGCCAAGACATGGCAACAACCTAATTGTCCCTTCAGAGAACACTCTGCAGCCTTAAAACAGAAGGAAGTCCTGCCATTTGCAAAAACATGGGTAAACCGGGAACATATTATGTTAAGTGAGATAAGCCTGGCACAGGACAGTTGCTGTAGGATCTCACTTATGTGTGGAATCTAACAAGGTCCACATTGCGGTCGCAGAGACCAGAGCCGTGGGCATGGTCCAAGTGCGCAAGGTCCGTTAGAAGATGGGTATGTTCCAGAGACCTAATGTACAGGGTGGGGACTGCAGTTCATAAGAACGTGTACATGAAATTTGCTAAGAGAGATCTCCAGTGTCCCTGCCACACGCGGAGGAGGTGGCTGCGGGAGGGGACGGATATAGCAATTTGCTCGATTGTGACAATCACGTCACGATGGGACGTGTATCCGAACGTCCTGTGACAGACCTTCAACAGACACGAGTTTCACTCGTCCATCGTGCCACAGTAGAGCTGCGAGAAAACGGACAAAAGGCACGAAGAGGTTGTTCACAGAAAGAGATACAGAGATGGCTCTTAGATATATGGCAACACGCTCAAAGTCATACATAATCAATGAAATGCAAATCAGAACTTGCCGGGATACTGTTTCTCACCTACAGGACGAGCGAACATTTCTGAGTTCAGCACGGCACACTCTGCCGGCACATGGCACACGCTGCCCGCGGAAGGTGAGGAAACTGTGTGCCCAACAGCGGGGACCGAGCCCCGCTCTCAGTTACTCTGGGGCTTAGTGATGTCCCCTCTAGAAGCTTACCTTGAAAACCTCTCTCCACAAACACGGAAAACTGGCCCTGTGTTTCTCATTGCAGACAAAGCGGGGCGTGGCATTTTATGTAAGGGACAAGGGAGGAAGGAAGGATTTGTACACAAGTGTACGTATTTGCTTTAAGGAAAGATGATCCAGAGGTTAATGAAAATAAGAATTGAGGTGCGTAGGTGGCAAGGGACTTACAAGAAATGACGCTTCTCTGAGTCTATTTTTCAGATCGCTTTGACTTCCTATTTGTGAAAAAGTACACTAAGAAGGAAGGAAAAGCAAACCCTAACATCAAATACAAACAGACACAAACAAGTTATCCAAAGGGCATTTTCGAGTGAACTTCCAGCATGGTCCCCTCCCCCTGCCCAATGCAAGTCCCCAAGGGCACACATCTGGGGACAGACAGAACCGAGGTCAGGCCTGCGGACCCCAGGCCACTTGCGAGCCACTGCAAAGAACAGGCTTTCAGGGAAACACAGGTTGGGGTCCCCCACCCAGACCACCCGTCCTAGGAGGAGGCAGAGCCAGGACTGAGACGTCTAAAGCTTCTGAAGATGCCTGCAGACCCTCCTATGGGAGAGGACGCCATACGCAAATGTGTTGGCTTTCCAGAAGTTTCCGCCAGAACCTCAGGTCCTCCTTCGTGTGTGGATGTGTGGGCCCACTGCCCCTCCTGGTGGGGGCAGGGGGCAGTCTGGACCAGAAGTGCTGTCCACTGAGAGAGCCTCCAACCCCCGCCCCCAACCCGTGAAGGTGCAGAAAGAGAAACCACAGCCACTGTGTGGATCTTAGGGGTCAGACCACAAGCCATGACCACAGGAGCTGCCACAGCCCGCCAGCCGGCCCCCAGGTACTCCCGCTGCTCCCGCAAGGCTGCGTCACCTCCTCCTTCTTCTGGTCGGCCTTCTCCTTGTTCCCTTGCACCAGGCGCTGCCGGGCCAGGATGGCCTCCTCGTGGCTGAGTTTCCCCTGCAGCCTGTGGCACTCGCTCGCGGCCAGCTGCTCCTCCCGGCCCTCCACCTGCACCTTCCTCTGCCACTCGAGGAACTCGGAGAAGTCCCCGGCCCCGTCCACAAGCTTATCCACCCTGGGGAGAGGGGACAAGAGTGGGGGCCTGTGCTGGCCATGGGGGGGGGTGCACGGGTTCCCTGGGGGTGCGGTGGCCTCACAGGCATGGGGAGCCGTTCACCCATCGCGGGCCATAGCACCTGTCCCCCACCCACCGTCCGCCTGTCCCCCACCCACCGTCCACCTGTCCCCATCCTCTCATCCACCTGGTCAGCCACCCAAACCCCACCCACAGCCCAACTCATGGGGTAAGCACAGGGGACCGGGGCGCTGGTGGTCAGCGGGGGGCCTTAGGGGGTTCTGAAGAGCAGGTGACCCTGAGAGAAGCGTGGGCTGGGCCAGCTTTCTGCTAAGCCGCCCTCTGCCCGGTTTCCCTCACTGAGCGGGTCATCTTCTTCAGATGCAGCCGTGACCCTAAGGCTGGCCTGCCTGTGGCACCCCCAAAGCACCACAGCCACCAGGCCCCGCCTTCCCCCCCTGCTGGCAACCTCCTCCTCTCCCAGGAGAGCCGTCCCTGCACCCCTTCCTCTGAACAGGGTGAGGAGCCGCCCGCCTACCTCTCCAGCTCTTTCTCCACCTGCCGCTGGTATAGAGATCCTTCCCGCAGGATGGCAGCTGTGTTGAGCTTCACAGGGACGTTGTTGGTCTGCAGGAGACAGGAGGGGCCGGCTGCAGTCTGGTGGCTGGGGGGGGAGAGTCGGGCCAGCAAATGCTCCCCTACTCCCCACACTTGCCCCCCGGCCCCTAGGGTGGGGCCTCCCTCAGGACCTCCAGCTCTGGCCATCTGATCCCCTGGGCACAGACCTGGCCAGGAAGTGAGTGTCCAGGGAGAGGGGACTAGACCAGGCACCCCGTGCCCAACCTGGCCGGTCAGGAACACCCCTCACCTTGTAGAAGGTCAGCTTTGGAGTCTCAAGGATTCGGGGCAGGAGTCGGGGCTGCAGAGTCTTCTGGGAGACCTGCGGGGATCAGGCCCAGCACCTGTGCCCACTGGGTGCCCTTGGACGCACCCTGGGGGAATGGTGGGCCCAGCACCCCTGGGAGGGCCGACGCACTCCCCTGTCCTCACTCCAGCTGCCCACCCGAGTGTTCCCAGCCCACCCCCTGCTCACGGGTCCCACGACAACACTTCTGTCTCCCATGCCCTCCCTGGCCTTTCCTGGGTGTAGGGCCGGCCAGGCCTGGGGACCACAGTTCCCAGGTGCTTGAACCTCTGGGTTCAGGGCCCGTCCCCCGAGTGGCTCCCTGGCACTGGCTTCCACGACTGGCTTCCTGGCTGCTAGGAAGTTGCTCCTTGCCTGCTGCTGCTCTGGGGTGCTCCCAGGAGGGGCCCCACAGCCCCAGTGTGCGGAGCGGTGGGTAGACGAGCACCCCCTTGGAACTCAGCCAGCACACCCCCAGGGCCATGCCCCGCCTGCCCCAACTGCTCGTGGGGGCCAGGGCACCGCTGCCTCGCCCTGCTGCCACCGGCGGTAGGGGGAGCCCACAGTGGGGAGGGCAGGGCAGGCCCACTCCTCTGGACAGAGCGCCCACCACGAACAGGCCTTCCTTGTCCTGCGTCCTTTACTTTTTCTTTATTGACAAACTTACCTTGGCTTTTTTTTTTTTTTTTTTTTTTTTTTTTTTTTTTCTTACGGAAACAGTAAGTGCTCAGCATGGAAATGTGGGAACACCCAGAGAGGGATGCGTGGATCGCCCGTGCGGATCTGGAGGTACATCTGCACCTGCCGCCCCGCCCGGGCTTGGGGAGCAGAGACCGGACAGGCTAAAGAAGGGGCTCATCGCGTCACCGCTCAAAGGGCGCAGGGAGGGACGGTTCCATGTGGTGGGAGAGTGCAACCGTGAAGACCGACCCAGGGCGAGGAGGGTGGGTGTTACCTGCGTCGGGGGCTCCCCGCGGGACCTGGGCACCGCGCACCGCATCTCCTCCATGTTCGCCCTGAGCAGCAGCTCCTGCAAGAGGCAGCACTTGGCTCTGGCCCCACTGGCCACCCCCCGGCGCCCTTGGGCCTCGGGAGGGACGAAGGCACAGACCAGCTTCCCGCTCTTCCTCTGCCCCCCTCCCCCGTCCCCCACCTCCTCACAGAACACCCCCCAGAGGGTCTAGGAAGGCAGGGCTCGTCGTCAGTGGGTCCTCACCTCTGCCTTCCAGCGATTGTGTCTCTTGGTCGTCTCCAGCAGCTGCTGCTCCTTGGGCGGCTGGTAGGTGCTCCTGGGGACCTGGTGGGGTGGCCGGAGGAAAGCCTGCAGTCAGCGGCTATGGTGTCCGGGGTGTGTAGAAGGGCCAGGCTGGTGGCCAGTGGGATATGGGTGAAGAGAGGGCGGTGCCGGGGACAGGAGGGTGGACCGTGGTGCCCGTGCCAGCAGAAGCAGGGCTGGGAGGGAGGCTGCTGGGCTCTGACTGGGATCCCCTGGGTGCTGGTGGCCATCCGGGGGAGGGAAAGGAAGGACGGCAGGCCAGCAGCAAGAAGGGAGGTGGCCAAGCATGGGGTCAGGTCCAGTGGACACTGGGGGAACAGGCAGAGGACCACTGAGTGGGCAGGGGATGGAAGGGGAGGTGTGGAGGGGAAAGTGAGTCCAGGAAGGTGTCATGGACCCCAGAAAATGAGGGTCAGGGAGGGGGCGGGGCCATAGCATGAATACTGCAGAGACCAGGGTGGCCTGAGAGCCATCCACAGGGTCCCATCACAGGGACCCTCGCCAGCCTGGAGGGAGCAGTGTCCATGCGGGTGGGGCAGGGACAGCCTGGAGACCCCTGAGCTCCAGACCCTAACTCATTGCCCTCTGCCCTGTGTGCCTAAGGAGCATTGGAATACTCGGGGGACCTGACCCGGGCGAGGGCTCATGGAAAACCTCTCTGGGCAGAGAGGTTGCCATGAGACCTGAAGTTGGTGGGGGTGGGCTGGGACCCCCGGCACCCCAACCCCCTTCCATGTGGTCTTTAATTCTGTGAGGAAACCAGATTGGGTCTGGGAAACTGACCCCACCACAAGTGTGTGGGGTAGAGACTTGGATCAGTCAGAACACAGCATCCCCAATCATGGTGATCAGCTCGAGGGGAGGCGTGCGGCCTGAGCTGGCCTGAGCTGGTCTAATCGTACTCTTACAGAATTCTTGGCCCTAGATGTCCTCTCATGCCCTGGATGGTTTACAGTACGGGGAAGGCCTGGGTGGGTTGCTACAATGAAGGAAGTTTGCCCAAAGATAAAGGTGACCCACAGAAGCACAGCTAGAACTCTGATCAAACTCTGCCTGAGGCCTAACCTACTCAGCCAAGAGTCAGCCCGTCCTCTATGGTCTACACCAGCTTGAGCTGCCTTTTTCTGTTACCTACAATACAAAGCATCCTGACTGGCAGAAGTCAGCAAAGTGGGGAGAGAGAGAGGGAGAAGGAGAGGAAGAGGCTCTAGGCAGATGGGACAGGCGTGCAAAGGCCCTGGGGTGGGGACAGGTCCACATGATGGGGTCACACAGACAGACATTATCACCTGCCCATGACCTGAGTAGTACTGAAGAGCATACTGTGAGCTACACATGTGCTATTTAATAGAGAGGGAGACCTATGTCACAACAGGTTACAAGCATGGTCTAGATGCCACGTCCGGACAGGTTTGAGCCCTGTGGCCCCACAGCCTCACTTCATCTCTGCTGACCAGACCTTAGGATGTGGAGCACAGGAACTCACTGGGCAGGCCCCAGGTCAGCTGGGCTTCCCCCACAGAGACGTGGGGTCACCAAATGCTCCTGGTCTGGTCCAGTGCACCTGGGAAGAGCCCAGCCTGCCCCTGGCTCACAGAGTCCACTCTCCCAGCTTGGATGGGCCGTGCTCACCGCAAATGTCTGCACTTACTGGTTTGGCTTTGGCCACGACGGGGACTGGCTCAGGCACTGGAATGGAGCGGGGTCTGGGGACAGTCAGGTTGAACTCCTTGGGCTCTGTGACCTTGGCCTTGGTCTTGGAAACAACGGACCGATTGGCCAGCACTTCCTCTAGCTGGTTGATCAGCTTCTGGACTTCCGGCTGCCATCTTGAAGGCAAAGGCAAGAGCAGCCACTTAGGGCCACTTCCTAAGGCCAACCAGGGCACCGCCCTCAGGAGAAGCAGGCCAACTAGGGCACGGCCTTCGGGAGAAGGTCAACGAGGGCACGGCCCTGGGGAACCAAAGGACCCAAGACACCCTGGGTCCACCTTAGGGTGCGGGCTGATAATGGAAGCAACAGCCACTCCACTGAGGGCCAGCTATGCCCCGGGCACTGTACCAGCTGCGCCCTGAGTCACGCAGACAGGTGAGGAAACAAGGCCAGCAGCACTGTGGTCACAAGCCATGCTGCTACGTGGGGAGTTGGGAGGACAGGGACAGAGAGGCCCCAGCGGCAGGAATCCAGGGGCCTGAGGAGCAGCAGCGGGAGGGACACAGAGCTAATCTGGGCCCGAGCGGAAGGCCCAGTGCAAGGAGGCCCAGAGAAGCTGGAGATGTCTGGAATGTTCCTGGAGCTGTGCTGCTGGTGACAGGTGGGGAAGGGGCTACGGGAGCAGGATGGAGCCTTGGGGTGCCGGTGCCCTGGAGCAGGGGTCTGTGCCCTACACCGCAGGCGGGCCCAGTTCCCATCAGCAGCCTGGCCGGTGGGGTTCCCCTGAGGACAGACAGCATGGTTTGTATAGCTCCTGGCCCAGCTCGAGGGCCACGGCCATCAGAGGAAGGAAGGGCACTTCTGAGGGGGGTGAGGTTTCCGGAGGGGCAGGGCGGGTCCGGGATGGGGCTGCATATGGCAGTGCTGAGGTGGGTGGCGGGCACCCTGGACCAAGGCTGACCCCACAGGTGGCTCTCTGGGCCCCGAGGGCCCGGGCCCTAGTGGCAGTCCTGTGGATGGGCAGTGAATCCAGCCTGGCTTGGACTGAGGGCTTTCTTCCAGGGAAACGGCAGCTCCAGGGCCACCCCTCCACCTCAGGGCCATGGTTTTCTCTCCCACAGAAGGGCTCCTCTCCCCGGGCCTCTGGCTCTCCAGCACACTGCTGGTACCTAAAGCGGTCTGCTTGTGCCCAAACAGTCTGTCTGTCCCCAGGAAAACCAGGCGGCTCCCCCAGCCCTATCAGAAGGGAAACACCGCAGGGCCAGCTTCACCCTGACCCCAGTAGCCTCTCGTGGAGGCCAAGGGCAGGGCCAGGCCACAGTGCTGGTCCTTCTGCCCGTGGGTCCCGGCCTGCGCGGGTGAAGCCGGGATTTGGCCGAGCTTGTTATGGGGTGCAGGGACAACAGGGTGGCTTCGGGGAGTGGAGTGCAGGGAGGCTCCGGCCTGTCCCACCTCATCAGGGGGCCGATCCAGTTCTCTCGCACATAGGCTGTCTCGTAGATGAGGCTCCACTCATCTGTGATCCATGAGCACAGGTTTAAGGGGTTGAAGAAGAACCCCAGGAACTGAGGGAGAAGTAGGAACCATTGAGGGGGGGCCTCGGCACCAGAACCCCTCCCCAACCTGGTGAAGCCCACAGTGCCCCTCACAGGAAAGCCAGTGCCCAGGGGGCAGGGGGCAAGGAAACCACTGTCCACGCCAGGGCAGCAGGCCCCTCGAGAAAGACCCTCCCTCCCCGAGCCCTGCTCGCCTGCCCCCATGCTGGGCTGGGGTGCCTGTGCTGGGGCACTGCCCCTGGCCACGCTGGCTTCTGCTCACGGCCTCTGGGCGTTCAGGGCAGCCCACTCCAGTCCTGGGGCGTGTCCCTGCCCAGCAGGGCACGTCCCTGCTGGTGGGGACCCTGTGCCTGAGCTACCTGCCCAGGACCTGGAAGGCCCACACCCCACTTCTGGAGAGTTCTTCGTGGGGACAGATGGATAGCGGCCTGCATCCCCTATGGGCTCCGGAATTCCAGGAATAGAGGTGCACTTTGCCCCTGCTTGCTCAGAACAGTGCCAGTGGGTGGGCCCCAGGAGTGACCTGCCCACCCGGCCCCTGGAAGGGACTGAGGATGTTCTCCCTGGGACGGCCCAGACCCCGCCACAGCAGGAACTTCTAGCGGCCGTGGGCCCTGCAGGCTGTTTTCCAGTCCTGGCCCTCAAGTCTAACAGATCTGGTTCTAGAAGACAGTCCAGTTTAGCTTCTCATGGAGGCTGGCTGCCTGGGGGAGAGGGAGGTGTGCTTCTGCAGAGGGGGCTGGCTGTGGCCCCAGGACGTGGCTGTCAGCACAGCTGAGGTGAAGCTCAGCACCCCCCGCCCCAGCCCTCCTCCGAGGGGCAGCCACGCCCGGGGCCTGCTGGGGGACTGTTCTGCAGGAGGGCATCCACCCAGACGAAACCACACCCGGGCTTGCAGGGCCTTGTCTAGTCAAGGGGACCACTACAGACCATTCAAACCAGCCTCCCAGAAAACCAGGGAGGCCACACGCTGGAGCCCCCCAGGAGAGCTTTGTGTGGACACAGGAAACATGATGCCTCCATCTGGGTCCCTAAAAGCACACCCTTGAGCTGTGAGCCTTGGGAACAGGGAGTTTACTGGGGAGGGAGTGAGTCAGCAGGTGGGTTCCCACTGTGGGCCTTTGGGCTCCACCCCAGCACCGCCCGTGGATTTGGGCCCAACGCCTGCCAAGGGCTGGGAGGGCCTTACTCCCGGGGCTTCCGGGTCTGGAGTCGGTGTTTGCTGCATGCTGTGCGTGGTGGGCATGATGCCCGGGCCCGTGCAGCTGCTGTGAATGGAGCGGCTGAGCAGTGGGGGCACCAGGCACAAGGACAGGACCCCGGCTGCTGTCGCTGCCTCCCCAGGGTGGCCACTGCCCGCTGCCCAGCTGCCAGCCGCCCAGCCACGGCCTGTCTCCTGCCCTCCCCATTGCATGGCTGTCTCTCAGCCTTTACCCTTTCCTGCCGGAAGGGGCAGTCGGTGCCCCGCTATCCGGCCTTGGGGTCTCTGCTCCTCTTGCTCCTGGCCAGTGCTTCTTGCTGCTCCATCCCCCGCCCACTCAGCATCTCAGCTGGTGTGCTGCCCCCACCCAGGGATGGCCTGCCCACACCCCTGGAGAGAGCTCTCCACAGTGAGGCCCCCATTCTCACCAGGTGTGGGGGCAGGGTCCTGGGGTGAGTTCTCCGGCCCTCTGGAGGATTCCAGCGTGTGAGCGGGGGTCATTGGAGCCAGAGGATTGCTACTGCCCCTGGAGTGACAGGCCCGCTGCAGCCACATCCAGCACTGTGTCTGGCAGAGACCACGGCCAAGGCTGCCCGAGAACCAGCCTGGGCACGCTGAGCTCACTACCACCTCGTCACTGCTGACCACGGTGGGCTGTGGGGGGCTTCCCCAGGGAGGCCCCAGGGCTGCCATCCTGTCCCTAACAGCTTGCACCCTGTCTTCAAGGCCCAGGCTGACCTCTCCTCTAGAGGCTGGAGGTGGGTGGACCCAATGGGACGGGGGGGGGGGGGGGGGAAGTGGGCTTGCCAGGGGAAAAGGGTACCGCCCCTACCCAGGGTGCAGCCCCACCCTGCACAACTCCCAGCTGTCGGAGTTTGTGGGGGCAGTTTCCATGAATCTCTTCCAGAAAATCTCCAGGGAGGTAACACCCAGCTGTCCCTGCACTGGGGGGGCCCTCCCAGGCTGGGTGTGGCCAGCTCTCTGTGTACCTGTCCTGGGTCTGCGTTGTGGGGCAGCCCAGGGAGTCCTATGCCTGCGCCCCACTCTGGACTCTTCAGGCCAAGGTTGGTCTAGGGCCAGCTCCTGCACTGCGGGACCCAGTGCAAGGTGACACATAGACCCCCTTTGATCCAGCAATCTACTAAGAATCTGAGAGACACTCTGTGAGCAGGCGTGAGCAGGCATCTGAAGCAGCTCCAGCAGAACTGACCCTGGGCACCTGCACACAGACACCTAAATGCCTACAATTTGTCTTTTTCTTAGAAAGGTGAAGACTGTGTTTAAGATAACTATGCAAATGTTTATCCCCGTGAATTGCTTGTTTACATGTAGGTAGGAAATCCCATCATTAAACACAAATCACGGCCTTGGGCCAGCACTTTCTCTTTCCCTTGTTAGGTGGCCAAGGTACCTGTGAGTCTCCAGTGCCACATCTCTGGGGGCTGTGGTCCTAGTGGGTGTCCCGCTTCCCAGCTCCCCCCCCATGCTTTCCACAGAACTGTCACCGCAGAGCCTGCTGTTTCTTCTGGGAGAGGCCCCAGGGCACTCCCCGGGCCTGTGATATCCCCGCTCTTCTCCAGGAGTCGCTGTCCTGGTCTGGTGACGGCCCTCCAAGCCCAGTAAGAAGGAGCAAGCCAGTGGTTAAAAGCCTGGTCCAAGAAAGGGCTCTGCTACTCATTTGCTGAGTGGTATTGGGTGAGTCACCCAACCTCTCTGTGCCTCAGTTCCCTCAGCTGTGGGATGGATGCCTTGTAGGACGACCTCCCTGGGTCATTGTGAGGATGGAACAAGAAATGCTCACGGACGAAGCCTGGCCCACAGCAAGTGCTCCACGGGGGCTGGCCACTAAAGAACGGTGGGCCTCAGGCTCAGGCCACAGGAGGGGCCACGGCAGGGCAGAAGATTGGTCCGCAGCCTCCCCCGATGGACGCCAATCCTCAGGGTCCACTCGGACCCACCCCCTTGCCTGCCCCTCAGCCCCCAGGCGGCACAGCCTCTCTTGGAGGGAGGAGCTTGGTCACAGAGAGAAGGGAAGGCTCCAGAGGCCCAGACTCACCACCCACCAGGACCCTGAGGGATGGGAGTCGAATCCCCCAGGGACAAAACGAGGGTGTCTGCAGCAATGGGAGGGCACCTGTTTGTCATAAACACACACTAAACCCAGCAGAGTCTCTTCCATTACAATGAGCCAGAGAGTGAGAGGTCGGCGCTGGCTGGGACACCTTTGCCCTTGGGTTTAGGAAGAAACCTCAGAGCTCACCTTGCGCATCTTGTCCACGGGCTGGGACCTGACGATGTCACAGAAGAGCTGAAAGCCGAGTTCCTCCAGCTGGAACGTGGCCAGGTAGCAGATCACTGGGGAAACAGGGCCGGTGAGTGGGGCCGCCCCTGGGGTGTCCTCCCCTGCGCCCCCTTGCATTCCGTCTTGGGGAATCAGCCGGAGGCCTGACCGGTGCCCGGCAGGTGCGAGGGAGCCGGAGCCGAAGGCCCACCACCAGCCGGGCAGGTGAACACGGGCAGGAGCTCCACCTGACGCCGTGTGAAAACGACAAAATGCTGCGAGAGTTCGGACGACGGCTCACATGGGTGAGCGTTTGGGGAGCGTCTGTCAAAACACTTCCACACACGCTCACTGACTTGGCATGTTCTCAGAAATTCTAAAAGTTCCCTGGGTAAAAGGAAAATCACTTTGGATTTCAGTTTGTTAATTTTGAGAGATGGAGTAGCCTTAAGCCAAGCAGGACGTGAACACCCGGGCAGGTGAGGGTCCCCGGGCAGGGGGCTGTTCATTACACTGGCTGCTGGGCAGGCCAGTGATGTGCTGCTGGCTGTGACACCTGAGCTGAGCGTCGGGGGCACGGGCAGAGCTCAGGGGCCAGCTCCCGACCTGGCATCGGGTCACTAAGTTCAGCTTCCCAGCACCCTGCTGTCCCCAAGCCTTCTCCTTCTGAACAGGGGCTCTGAGGCCTAGTGCAGGGTCTGGGGGCTGAACCAACACCCCTACCCAGAGGCACTGACCACTCTGCCTGCAATGTTCACCCCACGCCACGGAAGCAGGTGGCCCTCCGGGGTCTGCAGGAGACCAGGCAGAGACAATTCATATTTAATCCCCTGCTGGACAGTCCAGACTGCGGCCACAAGCCTGGCCCTGCCCTATGTCCTCGGGGCTGAGGGGGTCAGGAACTTGGCCAATGATAAAGGCTTGTCATTTCACCCAGGCTGGCCTTTTGGGGGCACTGTCTCTGAAGCAGGCTGTGCCTCCCTCAGGGACCCGAGGCTCTGGACCCCAGCCTGGCTTTTAGTGAGCCCGGAGTCTGTTTGCACGTCTGTAAGGCAGACCCGGTCCAGTCACTCAAGGCAGCCGTGAGGACCCAACGAGTGAGGGGCAGGGAGAGAGCCCGGAAAGCAGCATGCTGCAGAAGCAGGGGCTGGCGTCCAGCACGAGCCTGAGGAGCTCCTGTCTGCGGCCGCCTCCCCAGGTCCTCACCAGTGTTGTCTGTGCCTTGTGCAGAGGGCAAGGGCAGCGGGCCTGGCCCACAGGGACACCTACCCTCAAAGAGGCTGTAGTCGGCCCGTGGGCAGAGACAGCCGGCCCGCACGTAGAAGGCGTCCACCACCACGGCCAGCAGCTTCTGGTACTCGAGGCACCCAGACAGCACCTCCAGAATGAACGCCTGCTTCTGGGGGCTCAGGGTCTAGGAAAGAAACACCCCGGGAGGGGGGGGGGCCGTGGGCCAGGGCCAGGCACCCCTCCCCAAGCTGTTGGCAGAGTCCACGGCAGTCTGGCACCCCGACCCTCTGACCCAGCGGGTCCGCCCCAGGATGTGGTCCCTCGGGTGCTCCTGGGTAGTGACCACAGGCTGGGGGCAGGGACAGAAATAAACAGGCATGAAAAATGTGTGATTTCACTTGTATGAGGCCCCAGGACCGAGAGAGGATGGTGGGAACCCGGGGGCTGGAGTGGGGGTGGGCAGTTAGGGTTTCACGGGAACGGTTTCTGTTGTGGAGGATGAGAAAGTTCTGGGAAGGAGGGTGGGGACGGCTGCACAACAGTGTGAATGTTCTTAATGCCAAAGAGCCGTGCACTTAACAGTGGCTAAGATGGTAAATGTTATGTCATGTGTGTTTTACCACAATGAGAGAAAAAAAGAGCACGTTCCTATAAAGGTTTTCAAGTGAATTATTAAAAAAAATAATCCCCCCCCCCAAAAAAAAATGGTAAGGAAAACCTGCAAAGTCAGACAGGAATTACCAGTAACTGGAGGGACTGTGTTCTCTCCACGGGCTTCTGCTGGGGACACTGACTTTTCCCCACTTACCCCTTGGACAACTGTGTTGTCACACGTTACTTATTCAAAAAAGTGATTAAGCTTTTGAAAACAAGAAGACTGAAAAAGAACATCTAGTGTTGCCAGCACGGCCATGAGAGGGGCTGGTGGGGACCGGTGCCGTTGGGTCTTTCCTGAAAGCAATTTGGAAATGTGTTTCAAGTACCTTGTGCTTCCCGTACCCTTTAATCCAGTAATTACTTCTGGGAATGTGAGGAAACCATCCAAAATACAGGAAACAGCCGCATACAAGAAGTTCAGGGCATTTAAGAAGCAAAATTTTCTTAATGTTTTTTTTTTTTTTTTTTTTTTCCATATCGTCTGCCTTGCTTTTAATCAGCTTGGAATGTTGGCAGTTTCTGGCTGTGTCTGGCTGGCCGCAGGAGTCAGTCCTGCAGAAACCGAGAAGTGCCCCGAGTGTCTTTGAGTGTCACCCCTGTGCGGTCCTCTACACCCAAAGACAAGAGGTTTTCCCTCACTGTTCAGTATACACTCCAAGCTTTTCAACTTCAGGGGGAAAAAAATCATTGTATGTTTTCCTGTATTGTACATTTAATATTTTTTATTTTAATTTTTATTTTAGAGAGACAGCGAGCATGAGCAGAGAGAGGGGCAAAGGAGAGAGAGAGAGGGAGGCAGAGGGAGGGAGGGAGGGAGGGAGGGGGAGAGAGAGAAAGAGAGAGAGAAAGAGAGAGAGAGAATCCCAAGCAGGATCCATGACTATGGTGTGTTGTAAATTTTAGACTATTTCATATACATCACATTAAAACTGCCATATCACATTTAGTGTATAGATTTTGCAAATAGGATACTGTATGTAACCCCTAACTGTATCTGCAGTGTATATGTAATGTATTTATGCCCAACAAATGTTTTAATTCTTTCTGAAAAGGAAAAGAAAGAAGTTCAGGGCGAAGGAAAATGGTCAGGACCTAAGTGTCAGTGGTGGGGAGTCACTAGGTCAGATGCTCTCTCCCGTCACAGGGAGCGAGGCAGCCATTGAACTCAGTCCTGCAAGGTCTCCAGGAGGGGACAAGATGGTTAATGCAGCGTGAAACCAGAATGCAGACCTCGACCCAAACAGATGCAAAACACTGCAAAACATACTCACCAGTAGTGTCATTAAAACAAAAAAAAATTTTTTTTGCCCATCTATTAGATAAATTTTGGAACTCATTGTTTTATTTTGGATGTTTTATTATCAGTGAAGTTTTCTTATGTTTACTGGACATTTGTATTTCTTTTTTTTTTTAACGTTTATTTTTAAGAGAGAGAGAGAGAGAGACAGAGTGTGAGTGGGGAGGGGCAGAGAGAGTGGGGACAGAGGCTCTGACATGGGCTCTGTGCTGACAGCAGAGTCTGATGGGCTCAAACTCACAAACCGAAAGATCAGGACCTGAGTGGAAGTCAGATGCTCAGCCCTCGGAGCCACCCAGGTGCCCCCCTCTTATTTTCATGCGAAGAGAACGACCTGAGGGGTCCTGGATGAGCCACAGGGCCTCAGAGAGCCTCTGTCTCCACACCTGCGAGTGTGGATGTTGTCTTGGCAGACCGTGTCATTCCCACGTCCTTCCCGAGGCGGCCCTGAGCCACAGAGGCTGGAAGCCTGAAACCGTGTTCTTCAGTGGGCTCTGCCCCCGTGGCTCTGGCACAGTTTGGTTGTGCTAATGAGATGCCCTTACAGGAGAGACAGGAGGTCAAGGGAGATGACGTCCCCTCCCCCCCCCCCCCCCCCCGCGCCCCCCACAGAGGTGACCACTGTGCAGCAGGGGCTGCCCTGGACTTGGGTTCTGAAACCCTCCCCGTGGCTTGGAGCACAGCCTGGCTTCACTAGATCCCTTGCTGCTTCCAGTGCCGGGACTGGGCTCCAGCAATATTCGGATGCCAATACTCCCCTGCTGACACCTCCTCTCCTCACGTGGGAGGGTCTCCGGCCTCCAGCCCAGTCTCTTCAAGGTCTGCGCTCACCCCGGGGGCACCGCAACCAGCATCTAGGCTGAAAACGTGCCCTTCCAACCGTGGGTCCCCGGCCCGCCCTCCCCGGACTCCAGAAAGTTCTGTCTGCTCCTGTACCCTCCCCCGACTCGGGTGTCTGGCCTCTGGGCTTTGCCCCAACTCCCTGGCCTCCCCATCTCAGCACAACCCCAGAAAGTCTTTGTTGCCTCCCTCTCCCTCTGCCTCATGGCTGGGCCGGGGGAACCTCTGCACTCTGGCTTCTCCTCTCGACCTTCCTCTGTTTCCAGCCTGGCCACCAAGTAGTTCTTTTAAAATGGGGATCGGATCATGTCTGTCCTTCTTCAGAGCCTGCCAGAAGAACTCCTTACAATGGCCAGTGAGGCTCTGTGTGGACTGGTCTGGCTCCCTCGGGGTCCTTACCTAACCCTGTCTCCGCTCCAGCCACACTGGCCTCCCTCTGCCTCTCCAGCTTGTAGGATGTCCCCTCATGGCCTCCGTGCTAGCTGTTCCCTCCATTTGCAACACTCTTCCCTGTACACTTGCTCCTTCACTCCCACCAGGTCTTTGCTCAGACGCTACCTGACCCAGGAGGCGTCCCTGACCACCCCCCGGTCAGACGCTGCCTAGCGCTCTCGCCGAGCTGCACACGCAGGCAGCTGATTCCCTTCCCTGCTACAATGTTACGGTGGTGCTCCAGACAGGGAACAGAATGTCCTGCCTTCCTGGGCAGTTGTGGGGACCCAGGGACATCCCCCCAGTGCAGGCGAGGCACAGAGCAGCACCTCCTTCCTGGGTCAGCTCTGGTCTCACGGTCCTCTGACCCCCGGGCTGTGCGCACAGCGGGCGCGTTCTGTCAGAGGAAGGCCGGGCGCCCGCGCCCGTGCGGGCAGGGCAGAAAGCAATGAGTCAGCAAACCTGGAGCTGAGGCTGCATGAGTTTGCAGGACGCCTGCTGACAGGCTCTCGCACTTCTGAGGCTCAGACAACAGTGACTCCGCTGCTCATTAATTACGTCTGCGTTTGGGAAGTGTGAGTCTGTATTAATAAGGTCAGAGCCCGGAGCCTGCGGCTCTAAGCCCTGATGCCATCTATCCTCGGGCACGGAGGTCAGGCGGGGCTGCATGGGGCCACGGGGTCCCGGAGGACACAGAGCTAAGCAGTAAATGACACCCTGGCCCGTGGGCCAGGCTGGGCCCAGGGCCAGGTCTTTGCCACCAGGAAGGTCAACCCAGCTGGTCATAGTGGGGAGACTGAGGCCTGGGGCAGTGACCAAGTCCTTCTGGCCAGGCCAGCAGAGGGCTGCTGGGGCTGGGCTGGCCAGGCTGTCTCCAGGAGGAGGTAGGGAGAGAGCTGAATTGCACCGAGGGGGCCCCGGTACCAGAGCTGACCCTTAATTCCAAACCCACCTCAGCCACAGACCACAGAGGGCTGTGGCCGCCCAAGGGCCTCTGAGTGTGGATACCGTTTTGGGCCTTGGTCAAGTTCAGGACTCTGGAGTCCGCAGCCCCTGGCCAGCCCCCAGGGAGGGCAGCAAGGCCCTGGATAACAGTTTCGCGGATAGTCTGGGAGGTGGCCGGGCCTGCGAGCCTGCCGACTTTCCACCATCACTGGCTGCCTCTGGCCGGAGCCCCCAGACCCAGTTTGCCAGAGTTAGGGCAGAGCTAGACTGGGGCCCAGGGAGGGAAAGGGGCCTGGTTGTGGATTTAATCAGAACACAGAATGTGTAAGTTGTGTCACAACACCTAGAGGCTCCTGCTAATCAGTGACGTGTTGGCTGAGGTGGGTATTATGCTAAGTGAAACAAGTCAGCCAGAGAAAGGCAGACACCATGTTTTCACTCATATGTGGATCTTGAGAAACTTAACAGAAGACCATGGGGGAGGGGAAGGGGAAAAAGAAAAAAAAGTTACAGAGAGGGAGGGAGGCAAACCATAAGAGACTCCTAAATACTGAGAACAAACTGAGGGTTGATGGGGGGTGGGAGGGAGGGGAGGGTGGGTGATGGGCATCGAGGAGGGCACCTGTTGGGATGAGCACTGGGGGTTGTATGGAAACTAATCTGACAATAAATTATATTAAAAAACAAAAAAAGAAGAGCAGACAAAGGAAACAGGCTGCCCGGTGTCTAATCCCTTCTCCCTTTTTTCCTGCTCAACAGAAAAATGCTATCTCATTGTGGATGGTGGTTTGCTCAGCTAAAACTTTTTCCAGGCCCCTGCTGATGAAGCCATGTAGCAGATGGCTTTAATCAATGAGATCTAATGGCAAATTGCCGGGTGCAGCCTCCAAGGAAGCTCTTAGAAAGTGAGGCAGATTCACCCGGCACGTGCCTTTATGCTGTTTGCCTTTCTCCTCTTCTCTCCTGGGATATGGATGCAATGCTGGAGGCAGGGCAGCCATTTTGTGACTACAAAACAAAGGTACATTGCAAGCATGGCCGAGCAGAGAGGAGGGAAAATACATTCCTAATGGCACCACGGAGCCCCTGAGCCCACCCTGGACTGCCTGTACGTACGCAGACTGCTTCTTATGTGAGCGAAGATACCTCCAGTTTCTTTAAGCCATTGCTTTTCTGGATTTTCTCACAGCCAAACACTATTTCCTAACAGATACAGGTCCGAGAAGATCAGATCGTTCAGAGATAGAAATACATAATCGCTTCAAAACTCAGGAGGTAAAATGAATGTTGATTATGTGCACCGACTGCCTTTCCCCACCTATTTCATTGGCAGAGACGGAAACACTTGCTAGCACAATATGGAAGCAAAAGGCTTTGGGGGAACAAACACACCCTGCCCACCAACGAGAGTGCGAGCATGTAGACCCCTCAACTGGCAAGATCTACGGAAACCATGGGGGCCAGCTCCCCCACCGTGGAGAAGCTGCATTTTCTGGGACTTGGCCCGAGGTGTGCCTTCCCAGGTGCAGAGGGACAAGCGGACGGGTCCGTCTCACTGTGGTTCTGATACTAAAAGACTGGAAACGGCCTACAAGCCCATCGACAGGCGACGGTCATGATGGTTAGGTCACAGCCAGGCAACAGGATGCTTTCAGCTCTAAGGACAGAACGTGGAAGAGTCCTCATGGTACTTTAAGTGTTATGTACACTTATGCACATTTATGTTATAATGTACTACCATTTTGTAGAAATTTAAAAAATTTTATGTAAAAATGATACTGTTTTCATATATAAAACATATAATTTAGATGTAATTTTTGCTACATCTAATACCTAGGCAAGAGAGGCCTGGGCAGTCTCTGGAAGGGACCACAGGACACTGCTCTCTGCTTGTCTCCTGGGAGGGCCAGTATCGGGGGGGGGGGGTAGACCCCACTGGATACCATCTTGAGCCTTTTGGGTTTTGGATCTTTGATGTCATAAACCAGGCACTTAAACATATTAAAATAAAAAACATTTCCTGAGCCCAGGAAGCTACTGACTAGGACAGCAACTTCAAGGCGTTCTGGCCCTTGGCCACACTGCCGCCTTCCAGGCGAGGACATGGGTGGTGATCCAGGCCCCCAGCCCCCCAGTTCCCGCTTTCCCCCTGTCCCTCTGGCGGGGGGTGGGGCGGGCTGGGTGCTCAGCTGGGCCTCTCCTCACCCCCGCTTCACCCTTGTGCTGACTGCCCAGCTGCCCAGCACCACTCCTGCCAGCCCAGTGCTGACCTTTCCATTCCCCTGCCCGCCCTTGCCCATGGTTTGGCCCAGGGCCCAAGGTTCTGCGCACTCAGATGCCACTTGGCCTCCACGCCCACACAGCGCCTGTCACAGGTCAGGACTCTGCCGTCCTGACTCATTCAGGTCCCTCTGCCTGAGGTGGGGGGGGGGGGGGGGGGGGGGGGGGGTGGTTTGCGGAACCCCTGTTCTCCCAGACCTCCCACCCCTCTGGTTCTATCTCAATCTCAAAGCCAGAGTCTTCTCTGAGGCTGCTCAGACCTCATGGACTTTGTGGATGCCCCAAGCTGCCTGCTGTGCCCAGTACGCCCCCGCCCTGGTCCTGCAGGCCCAAGCTGATTCTCTGGGAGTCCCTATGCCCCACCTGTTCAGCCTGGTGCCCAGCTGTCATGCTGGCTGGCCACGTGGGTCTCTGGGAGTGCAGGTGGGGGAAGGGGTGGCTAAAGGCAACACCCAGGGAGGGACGTCCAGCAGCATCCCTCTCCCCTACAGGAAACTCTCCAGTCTGCCGTCATTGTGCTCTAATGAAATGACACTTGTTCCAAAGTGACATTAACTACGGGGGGCAGAGCTTGGAGCGCGGGGGAGGCGAGGATTCCTGTCCCTCCTGAGGGCCTGGCCAGGGAGCACAGGAGAACCCAGGCTTTCAGGCCAGCCCAGGTGCTTGCTGGTTCCATCACCCTCACCCCCACTGATCCCTCCCTCCTCTCTCCAGCCCCAGCCAGGCCCTCAGTGCCACTGTCAGGCCGTTCTGGAGACTGGCATCTGCAGGGGCTTGATGCCCACGTCTCAGCACCTACACACCCAGTGGTGATGATGGATCCCTTTCTGATCTACAGATAATCTGCAGAGAGAAAGTCACACACTGTCCCCCAATCCACAAGTCCTTGTACCTCCCCCACCCTTCGGCCTGGCTTCACCTCAGGTGCCCTCCTCTGCACCTAGTCCCCAGAGTCCAGCATTTCGGCAGCAGCCCTGAGTGTGCCGACCTGGCCCCTCCATCCTTGGCCTCTCCCAGGAGGTTCCCTGTCTATACAAATGTCCTGGGGCTCCCCTAACAAATTACCACAAACTTGGCCGCTGGAAACAACAGGGATGTAGGCTTTCAGAGTTCTGGAGGACAGAATTCTGAAATTGAGGTGTCGCAAGGTCAGGTCACAGGGAGGGTCCACACCGCGCTTCTCCCCAGCTGCAGGTGGTTGCGGGATCCTGGCGTCCACATCTCATGGATATATCTGTGGTCACGTGGCTTTCTTCCCTGGTCTCTGTGTTGAGATTTCCCTCTCCTTATAAGGATGCTAGTCACTGGATTTGGGGCTCACCCTAAGTCAAGGATGCTCTTATCTCGAGATTCCTAATCATATCTGCAGAGGGGGCATTTCTTTTTTTTTTTTTTTTTTTCCCAACGTTTATTTATTTTTTTTTGGGACAGAGAGAGACAGAGCATGAACGGGGGAGGGGCAGAGAGAGAGGGAGACACAGAATCGGAAACAGGCTCCAGGCTCTGAGACATCAGCCCAGAGCCTGACGCGGGGCTCGAACTCACAGACCGCGAGATCGTGACCTGGCTGAAGTCGGACGCTTAACCGACTTCGCCACCCAGGCGCCCCAAGGGCATTTCTAAATAAGGTCACATTGACAGGTAACCAGCAGCCAGCACTTGAAGGTATCTTTTTCCAGCCAGGACCCCTGCCCGATGGGCTCGTGTGCTGCGTTGTTTTCTGTCAGGGGGCAGCCTTGAGCCTTGAGTCTAACAAAAGCAGTGGGTTCCTTCAATTTTCTGGACACAAGAGTGTGTTGTCCCCACTGGGTCAGACTTGAGGCGGGCATTGGAAAGGATCTGGGAAGACCAGCGTGTCAGAAAACGCAGTTGCCGGCCTCTCCATCTGACGTGAGCATCCGTGCACACCCCGGCGACGCTGGCCAGATCCCTGGGACTCGGTGCGGTGGGTCTGGGGGCAGAGGCGTGCTTGCCTCCCTCCCCACAGAAACGCACACACAGGGGCATGATGCCATGGCTCACTAAGCGACAACTGCCGGCAATAATGTGTTGTCACAGACCCAACTTTCTGTAACGGTTATTACTGAGAAATAAAGATGCTGGCCTTGCTGTTTTTGCTGGGCAGTGGGAGAAAGCCTTGGAGGGCGGGTGCAGGGGAGCTGAGGGCAGAGCAGAGACACCAAGGGGCCTCCTTGCAAGTGGAAGATGAGAGAGGCTCGGGCGAGGTCTTTCTTTTAGGATGACACCAACAACAGCAGTCGTGGCTGACGCGAGAGACCCGAGGAGGGTGGGACAGAGGCAGCTGCCCCGCCAGGCCCTGGAGCAGCCACTGGGGAGGGCCAGGCCCAAGCGGGGTGGGGGGGGAGGGGGCGCTGAGCTGTGCAGGGCGTTTCCGCTTGGGGAAGATAATTGTGGTAGGGTCTGGCCTTGGCTGTTTTCATCATTTCCCCAAATGCTAGGGTCTCGGGGACAAGCTTGAGAGAGGGGTACAGGCTGCTGCCCGGCCCCTGCTGCCAGAGACATCGGTTCCTGAATGAAGCTGGGGAGAAGGGGTTGGGTCAGCGGTCCCAAGCTTTCTCTCGTGGGAGAGTCTCTGGTTTCTGGACCCCTCTAGCCTTTGCGTGCACAGCCCAGGGCCCCAGCCCCTTCTGCAAGGCAGTGACCACTTCAGGTTTTCGGGCCGCTGGACCACAAGGCAGCTGACGAAGGAAGAGCGTTTCCTACCACACCGCAAGGGAAAGGGAGTCCCTCTGTGGCCGGGGGCCCAGCAGAGCCCACGCCTGAGCAGGTCATGGGGGCTAGCCCACCTCCCCGGGGGTGGGCGCAGTGAATAGCTCACACACGCCTGTTAAGGAAAAGCAATTCCACCTGGCAATTAAGGACAAGCATCCTGTAATTAATGCATTTGCTACAACAGCCCCGGGGGGGCTGGGCCCCTGCAATGCATGCTCCCGCTCCCTGGGCACCTACCCACCCCCGGTGGACGGACTGACAGACGCGCAGAGAGGCTTCTGAGGGCGGCCGAGCTGACAGGTGGTGCTCCAGCGGCCCTGAGCCGTCCCAGGACGTCAGCCAAGCGGACTCTCTGTATGTGCTTGAAATGGGGTGGGCTGTAGTTGGGGGAGAAAAGAACAAGGACCATCCAGGGGCACGGGGACAAGAGGTGAGCAGCAGAGGGGCGGCGGGTGGGGGGGAAGGTCCCTTATTTCTGCCAGCTGTGGGCCACGAGGAGAAGGAGGTGGGGGCTCCAGTGGGCCTCGCTGCCTTGGCCAGCCCCCGCCTCTCTGTCGGAAGCCGGTCAGCTCGCTGGCTGCTCGTGCGTAGCTGCCCTGGGAGGAGGCCACCCTCCAGAGTGGAGGTCAATCCAAGCTCACTCTTCTCTATGTTCAGTTTTGGATGGTACCGTGCAGGCACGTCCTGAGGCACGGTGCCAATATTCCCTTTCACAAGAGTCGTCTGATGCACATTCCAGATGCCAGGGATGCCTCTCGAGGCACAGAGAGGGTCCCTGAAGGCCCCTAGAAACACTGCAGCCACTATTGTGACCTAGAGTGAAGCTGAGGACATCCAGCCTTCGAATGGCATGGGGCCGTGCCCAGGGCCTCTCCCCAGGGAGGACGGAAAGCAGCTGTCTTCCTAGAAAGTAACTAGCTACATGACAGGTGTCACCAGCATGCCTCCCAGCGAGCCCCGAGCCGCCACTGATCCTACCTGCAGGGCGGTGGACGCGGCCTCCAGGAACTGCTCAGCACTGCCCTTCTTAGCCTTAAATTTGTCCAGTTGCCCAATCACAGTTTCAATGCATTTTCCGTAGTAGGCCATCTTCCCAGGGCAGGACTCTAGAAGCAAACCACTACAGGTCACACCCTCCATGACCTCTGGGCTGTCAGCTAGGCAGGTGGCAAAGGCAGCCACAGAGGCTTTATCAATAGACGGGACGTCCCCTGGGAGCCTGGGACCTCTCACAGTGAGGCATGTTAGAGGGAGACAGGGACCCCAGCTGGGGAAACCCGGGCCCACTTCCTGGACCGTGTCCTTGCAGGACTCTGCCGTCCATGGGCCCAGGCTGGCCCTGAGGAGCCCACCCCAGGCCCCCACCCACCCACAGATCCTGGAGGCTCCCAGGCTTCCCCACGTGGCCCCAAGCCCCACAACTGTGCATGGCTGGGGAGGACGCCTGGGAGGGGTAGGCCTCTGAGCATATCTCAGCCTAGCTGGGGTTCAGTGACTGTTTATACAGAAGGTCTTGCCCAGAGGGGTAGGTGACCTAATCCCAAATGGTTGGGGCAAGAAGAATCCTCAGGTCACCAGGTTCAACACTCCCATTTTATTTATTTATTTAAAATTAAAAAAAAAAAATGTTTATTTTGAGAGAGAAAGAAAGAGTGTGAGCAAGGGAGGGTTTGAGAGAGAGAGAGAGAGAGAGAGAGAGAGAGAGAGAGAGAGAATCCCAAGCAGGCTCTGCACTGTCAGCACAGAGCTCGACATGGGGCTTGAACTCATGAACCGTGAGACCACGACCCAAGCTGAAACCAAGAGTTGGACGCTTAACTGACTGAGCCACTCAGGTGTCCCTCAATGCCCCCATTTTAAAGGTGGGGGACCCAACACCCAGAAAGAATGCACAGTTGGTAAGTGGCCAGATCTCGTATGGGCATTGAACTTTCCAGAAACATACTAGCCCCAGGAGACCAGCTTGCCCAGAGCCTCTGTCTGGGAGACCTTGGAAGAGCTGCTTGGGTTGGGGCTGGGACCCTGGGAACTGGTTCTAATAGGTAAGCCCCAAATTGCTTACAGGGGGGTGGCCAGGCCCATCAGAGGCTCCCTCTCCATGCCCCCGTCTTGTTCCATGCTACTCGAGGGGTGTCTCTGGGCCACCCCACTGCTGGTCTTCTTGGGCACCAGCTGTTGGCACAGCCAGGCTGCTAGCATCCTGGGGACAATGCAAGCACCTCTCCTGAACCCCCAACAGGTTGGAATGGATCCAGATAGCAGTCCCCAGACCTAGAGCCCCCAGAATGGAGACTGAGTGAAAAAGATAAAAGCTGTATACACTGTCACTGGGGTCCCCAGCAAGATGGGCTGTCCCAGCCAGTCCAGCCCATAGGTTGAGTCCCCCCCACTGCCTTCAAGAGCGTGAGGGCTAAATGCCACCAGATGCTTCAGAGAGCCTCTGACACACAACTGTGAAGCAGAGGCAAGAAGAGAAGCAGAAGCAGACAGCGGTTAAAACCCAGAAAACATGCCTCTATCACCTCCGAGAGATAAGAGAGATGTGGTATCCAAGGAATGAGAACAGTGGAGGAAGACAGAGTCTTGGAAATTAAAATATGGCAGCAGAACTAAAAATACAAATAGAAGAGGTGGAGGGTATAGTTGAGAAAATCTCCCAAGAGAGCATAAAAAGATGAAAACACAAAGTAGGAGAAAAATACCCGGAAAACCAGGGAACCACTGCAAAAGGCCCCAATGCCCACGAGCAAAGAGAAGAGAGGAGTCACGGGAGAGAATGGCCCAGGGCTGAAGGACGGGCGGGTCTCCCTGTGGACGGGGCTCTTGAGCGCCTTGAATGCTTTTGTCACCGAGGGAGACAGCAGGTGGCATAGGAGGGGACAGGGGTGCGGACCAGCCTCCTCCCCCAGCAGGGAATCCATCTCCAGCCTGGAGGACAGTGCGAGCAGAAAGACTAGGCCCTGCACCCCGCCCTGCGGAGGGAGCCCAGAAAGGGGCAGACAAGGGACTGGGAAGCAGGGGCATTTCCAGGAAGGTGACAGCAGGAGGCAGGCCAGGGGCACCAGAACAGGGGAGCCCTCACCTGGCGCAGCATCCCGAGCGGGTTTGAGCTGAGCGCTCTGGGAAAGAGGCTTTGACTCCTGCCCTCCTCCGCTGGCTGCACACCTGGGCCCCCGCACCGCCCGGCCCTGAGGCCTGACTCAGGGTCGCTCAGGCGCCCAGCCCTAGCGGTGCAGGGACAGAAGCGGCACGAGCCTCTCTCGTATGCGACCAGAAGACGGACCTCTTGGAACAGGGAAACGCACTGCAACCGGCTCGAAGCCCTGATGCCGGGTGCCGGCCCTGAAGACCGAGCCTCAGGAGAGTCCGGGTTCGGAGACCAGTCAGTGGTTCCACGAAACGAGAGCACACTGCAGGGGGCAATGGCTGAGACCCACAGAGGACTATAGCGGGGCTGAGTCCCTATTTCTACATCGGTTCTTGCCCCAGAGTGGGCATGACCATCAGTACTGAGTGAGCTAGCTGCTGGCAGGACCTGGCTGCGGTCACTGCCCCAGGGGCCACCTAGAGTCAGGTGGGCTCAGGACCAGGAGAAAGGAGCTGGGGACCGGCGTGCAGGCACTGAAAGCAGTGTGCTCATCCATCTGTCCCCATCTTCAGCAGGACCACCTACACCGAGCCCGAACTTTGGCCTCTGCAGGTGCAGGGGTCAGAAGGACGGGTGGTGGCGTGGGGCCAGCGCGTGCCAGGTGACCCCCTTTGGACGTGCGGCCAGGTGGCGGCATCGCTGTGAACACACTGAGCTACCTGTTTCTCCCAGGTCCGCCCCTCAGCAGTGGGACAGGCCACCTGGAGAGCAGGCCACGCAGCACCTTTGGGAACAGAAGCAGTCCCCATCTGTGGCTCGAGGGCGGGGGGGCTGGCCGGCTTGGCCCCTCCTCTCTCATCTGCCAGGGGCAGGCCGGCTGGACCGTGGGAGCAGGTCCTGACCCTCGGACGCAGGCAAGGTGAGGTGAGGGCCGCAGCGAGGAGGTCGGCACCTGAGACAGAGGTGCAGGAGGGGTAGACGAGGCCTCGCGAGGCTGTGGATGCCGTGCAGTCCTCCTGGCCCGAGTCCCAGGTCTGCTGGGCAGCTGAGGACAAGCGACTTAACGTATCCGAAGGCAGGAAGTCATGACCCCTACAGTCAGGGCCCTGACCTGGCCGCCTCCTCTGGGTGGGTTGCCCTGCTCTGACGTCCCACCCCTGGCGATGGCATTGCTGACCACACAGAGGGACACTCGAGGTGTCTCTGGGCCAAAAGGTAGCATTGAGGGGTGTGCAATCAGTTCTTTTTTCTTGCTGTGGGAGTCTGTATTGCTAGGAACTCCTCCCTGGGGCCTGGCTCGCAGACTGAGTGAATGTCCCCGGAGGAAATATTGGCTCTGGGAGAAGTTCTGGAAAAGATCTATTTCCATAGTTTGCAATCTTTTCCCTAGCGAGATCTGACTTTTCTCAGCCTCATGCAGCTAATGGACAAAGGGACTTTTTAAAGGCTGCAGAAAGTGGTGGCCACCCCCCCCCCCAACACTAACCACCCCTCCTCTGGCATTAGAGGCCTCGCTGCATGGGATGGAGCTTGGAAGTCTTGAGGCCACAGGCTGCCTGTGGCCCCTCTGGATGAGCCCTTGTACTTGGTTATTTGTGTTCATGCAAACCCTTGGCCCTGGGCCCCACGCCCGAGAGGCTGTGGGACGTTTCCAGGTGAGGATCACCCAGTCCGGCTGCACCAAGTGGCCACAGACCCACTCACCAGGTCTCCCAGGCCTGGCCCTCCGCCTTACCCCCCCGGCACAGCCACTGTCCTCCTGGGCAGGTGTTCCAGTGTTAGATGGCAGTGCCACTCTCTGAGGTGAGGGAGGTTTGGGGGAGAGTGGCCTCAGGTCAGGGGAGTGTCCTTCCACTAACAGCCATCATTAACAAATCCCCCCAACTCTTGGGGTACCCAGCACGTCCTACCCCTTCGCAGCCTGGGCTCACAGTCCCTGGGGTCCTCCTCCTGCTTCCCGTCCTGCACCCCAGCTCTGTCCTCCCAGGATTCTCACTGGCTCTCAAGCCCCTTCACGTGGATCTCCTGAACCTTGAACACGCCTCTCCTCTCTCCGGTGAGCTCCTACGCATCCCTTAACACCTGATGCAAATATCAGCACCTGTGGAGCCTGCTTCCTCCTCCCTTAGCTCTTCCCTTCTCCGTGCCTCCTCTGAACTCCTCCAAACCCATGTGATGCACTGCACCGTGAGCACCTGATGCAGGACCCTCCTGTGCCACTTCTGCGTCCACAAGCTGGTCTCCAGCAGCTTACCCAGAGCTGGTCTCCAGCAAGTGCCGCAGAGGTGTCTGCGGAGTCAATGACAGGATGCAAACTGCAGAACAGTCAAGCTGAAAGTGTCAGCACAGAGCCCAACACAGGGCTCGAACCCACGAACCATGAGATCATAACCTGAGCTCAACCGATTGAGCCCCCCAGGTGCCCCTGTATTAGTGATCTTTTTTAAGTCAAGCCTTTGCTTCCACAGATCCTATAGTTCAACAAGTTCGGTTTCATTGTTTCGTTTAATTGGAGAATAATGCATGCCCACGAGATATTTACTAAGCAAGTAAAGGTGGGACAGAACAAGCCCCACGCTGAGTTGGGGGGTTGAGGTGGGGGGGGGGTCAGGCTCCCCATCCCAAGGGAGCACTTCCTGCCTGTGGGAGCCTGAGCCCCAGGCTGGTTCTGCAACCCTCCAAACACCCACTCTGCCAGATTCCCGGTAACATCTCGGGATGAGCCATAACTGGGGGAAAGAGACACCATGTCAACATAGTAAAGCAAAATAGCATTTACACATTCTGGAGCTCACAAGGAAATGAGCACAACTAGTAAAAAGTCTATTTTTACAGAAACAACGTTGAGGATGCAGTCTTTTCGCCCCTCCCCCAACAGGCACTTGGGGGCACTGCCCCGGGATGGGGTTTGGCCCTTGGCCCTACCTTTCTGCATCTGCTCTGAACACAGCTCTGCCTGGAGGAACCAGATACCGCAGGAAAAGGGTTCCCCCCGGCACCT